CAAGACAAGGATTTTCTTTGCGAGGACTTGGTGCCACGGTTGGGTCTCGCCGGCGTGGGTTAGCGCAGCCCTTCCGCGTCCTGGCCCGCTCGCCGCTGAGGGGGCGGTGGGTCCTTGGATGCCTCTGTCTGCCTTCGCTGTGCTTTTTAGCTTTCATTCACGTCCAGAGTCAAATGAAGGTGTTTATATTGTAACAAGCTGCCCAGAGCAGTCTAAATCATTTTGGGGATTGCTAGCCCTCTGCACGGTTGGCTTTTCACGTTAAATAGAAGCTCTACTGGTGGTGGCAGACATGAAATGCCTTTTTACCTGTAGCAGTATGAATTAGCTGAATTATTTTTCATCCTGTAAGGTCTTGCTAGGCCAGCCATAACAAGCACTTTGTTTTCAAAGGTTTGTCCCAGGCATGGAAATAGAAACACTCCAGACTTTGCCTTTGTTCCCTTTTAGATGTTTGTTTTCTCAGAGATTTTTCTCTGAATCAGGGAAGATATTGGAACTAATAACAACGCTCTTTGTCTGAGGCTCACGTATGTTCATTTTCTATATAAAATACATGCACCAAATGATTCCAGCCACAGAAAGCAGGAGCTCTGTGGGGAGCAGAGCCAGGCACCCCGGGTGGCAGCCCCTGGACAGGCCACTGCTGCCCGTGGAGGTGCGTGGTGGCTAGTGCCCGGCGCGGCTGGGCAACCGGGCCAGAGCCGTGTGTTCATGGAGGTAACGTCACGTACCGGCAGGACCATGTCCGCCAGTATTGAATAATCCCACTGATGCCAGTTCACAGCCCACAAGTCTCAAGTTGGTACATTTTTTTTACGCCCTCGGCTCTGTGCGTGGCGTTAAGCTGCGGGGCTGGAGCTGGTGCCGGCTCTGGGCCGTGTTACTAGGAGGAGTGGGCAGCTCCCACGTGCTGCACCTGAGCGTTTGCTGCTGCTCCCACCACGCAGGTTTCTCTGGAGGTCGCTGGAGAAGCAAATGAGTTCTTTAATTGGATTTCAATGAAAATAAATACGAGCTGTTGACCAGGCTGAAGAAACTTAAATCATTAATGCCTGTAAAATGAAAGAGGGCCGGTGCAGCACTTCCCCCAGCCTGCAGCACCCCGGCTCTGCTGCGGTTCTCCTCTGTTACACGATGCTGATTGCAAGCCAGTGCAACAAAGAAATATTTACTGTTCCTGTATGCTTTCTCTGCACTGAAGCTTGACTGCCAATTACTCTGTATTAAATTATGTTTGGTCATGCCAGTGATTATACAGTATCCAAGCAACCCAGGCATAATCTAATTTGACACACAACATGGATTTACTCCGCTCCCATTCTCCTTTGTTTTTTCTGAAAGTGAATGTAAAGCGAGCGGGTGTCTGCGGGCACCCCCGGACAACACGACCGGCCCGTTGAGCTGCAGGGCCAGCGCTCCCCTGGGAGCTCGTGGCTCCCGGCCCGGGGCATCCCCGCGAGCTGTCCGGGCTCGGTCTCCAGCTCCTGTGGCTGGGCGCTTGCAGTAACCATCACACCTCTTGGGTTTGCACCAAGTGGGTCAGATCCTCACGGGACAAAGTCCCCTTGCAGAGCTGCTCGCTGGTGGTGCGTGCCGCTCTTCCCCCAGCCGAGGGGCTCCGCAGCCTCTCCCACGCTGCCGGGCTCATCTCCCGTGGATGCCGGCGGCACGGGGCAGCCGCCGTGTGCTGCGAGGGGGAGGAACAGCCCAGACTCCGAAAGTCAGGGGTAGCTGGGCACGTTGCAAGCACCCGGCAGGGGTTAGGAGGTTGCTCTGCAGGTTTCCCCATTTGTTGTTGCTTCCCACCTCCTGTTTGTGCTGGAAGGGACTTCTGCAAAGCGTGGATGGCGAGAGAACTGAAAAAGAACCCATCTAAATTAATATTAGTGCAATTGCCTTCAGAGTGCGCTGAGGGTCAGAAAGAAACAGCAGGTTAAAAGGTGGATAGAGTGAATACTTGGAAACCTTCTAAAGGGCAGCTCAGGAATGGCACTAACAATGCCTGCCAAAAAGCACCGATGTTAAGCACACTTTGGGATGAGAACACCCCGTCTTTAGAAACTGCGGCATTATTTTTGAGTGGAAAGGATGATGAAGGGGTATAATTTATAGTAAATTATCATGTGGATAATGGATGTGGAATTTGAAGGATGTGAAAGGTGAATGATGTTTTGTAGCATAGCTTTGATAACCAAGCGTTGTGAAGACAACTGCTGGAAGTTCCTGTGCCACCCCGGTTTATTCCAGAAAGGAGCCAGACTTGCACAGCTGCAAAATGGCTTCCACACGTTACAAATTCAAAGCAAACAAGTGAGAATAAAGAGGAGTTTGGTGGCGACTGCGGCCCGGAGGCGAGGGCCAGCGCTCGTGTCTGGGCGCGTGGGCATTCCTCGGGCAAAAGGCAGAGCCAGGTCTGCGGCTGGTGCTGCAGGACCGTGCCCTGCCTGGGAAGCCATTAATAGTTTAGTCTGAAATAATTAACAGGACCGTGCACAGCTGCCTAGCTGTAATGAGTCAATGACAGTGCAATTTATTAGAGTGATGTATTACATGGTAACGGTAATGAGGAATGGAGGGACCTAATTTTGTAAGACTTAGATCAATTCGGTTGTTTTTTTATAAATGAACATTGTTTTACTAACCACGGAAAGATCGTTAAAATTATTATTTTATTAGCACTTTTCAAAACTATTTGAACAACGGCTGCGTTTTTCAAAATCCAAATAGGAGCATGTGAACATGTGTCTGAAATACAGATGTTGTTGCAATGTAAACACGTCAATTGGCATTTGTGAATGTCACGATAAGGAGGTGGGCTGGAGTGGGGGGAAAGGTTTGAATCCCTGCAGAAGTAGGAGGTTTCTTACTGTAAGTAAGCAGGTTTTTTCTTAAGTAAGAATTCGCTTCCTATTGGACTTCTTCTGCCTTTCTCTCCACTCTGCAAGGTTGTGGCCCCCTAAAAAAAGTTTTCTTCTCCCCCACGAGCTCTGCCGGCATCGCTGTGTGCGCAGCTCGGCCGGCTCCTGCCCTCGGGGAGGATGAGGGGAGGTTCTGCCCCTGCCTGGGGACGTGGACGGGGCTGGGTGGAGGCGATGGGGCGAGCGGGGTGGCAGCAGCCCCGCCGGGCAGAGCATCGCCTCAGCGCCGGCGCGGGGCTCCTTCCTCCTCGGGTTATCATCTCTGTAACCGGAGCCTTTCTCCAGGGCAGCCCGTCTCCCGCAGCGCTGAAGTTTACTGACGCGGGAGGTTTCTCAGACACTCGTGATAAAATATTCAGAGCTTCCTGACAGTGGGGGGAGGTTACGGGCAGGAGGGAGGTCCCGCAAGCTCCCAAGGGACTTTTCACCAGGACCTCTGCACCTTTGAAACTGTAACCCCAGCCCAGACTGGGTGGAGGTGACAGCCCTGCATGTTCTCCCGGGATGGAACATGCATCAGGGGCGAGACTTCTTGCCTGGGTGATAAATACGGCTGGAGCTGCTGTTGGGGGGGAGTGAAGCCAGCAGTCCTGAGCCCCTGAGCTTCCCTCAATGCTGAGGTCCCCTTGTGCTGCCTGGGGAGCCACACAGAGGGATGAAGAATGAAGAGTTCTTTGCTGGATCGAGTGGAATTTGGATGAAAAAGGATGGAGAGCATCTTTACTTTTAAGGCAGCCTGCTGCGCTGCAATAAGCTGAGCGTGCACACAAATGAGCGCTGTGGTGTCTTGGCCCTGAGATCAGGAATAAAAGCTCATGGCAATAACTTTTTGGGACAGTGCAGCAAGATTGGAGTTTTAAGCCTGTGCTTGCCTAGTGCATTTGTCCAGGGAAAACGGGAGAGAAAGAGTAAAGGGAAAAGACGCTTAAAAAACCCCTTAAGCTGAAATTGTGATTGCACTGCCTGAAGTCATCCAGTTTCCTGGTTGAAGAGGTCAGGAGAAAACCACAAGAAAGAGTCGCGGCGACGGGGCTGTAGGGTTTCCACCGCGGGTCCTCGCTGCGTCACCGGCGCACGTGTCGTGGCGTTACGTGCCGTTGTGTGACTCCAGCTCGTGCCTCCACCGGAGCCCCTGGTACCCGGCGAGGTTGGTCCGTGCCTCAACCGGGCGTTTGCCACGGAGCGGCCAAGCAGCCGGGTCCCCCGGGCACCACCGGGCTGTTGGCGTGCAGGGGGCTTGCAAGGTGGGACGGGCAGCAGCGTGTGGCCTCGGTGCGCGGCAGCGGGGCTCTCCGGGGCTGAGCCAGGGCAGAGGACGTGCCCCAGTGGGGCTGCTGGTGCTTTGCACCACTAAGACCAGGGGTCAGACTGGAGCTCCTCCAAACTAACACCACCTCCCCCGCCCCCCTCAAACGCCCCTCAGCCGGGGTGCCAGATCCTCAGCACGAGCTGTTTCGCTGTGCTGAACTGGGCTGCAACACTTGCGAACGTAAAAATAGATGGAGATGACAGGGAGGAATGGTTGAGTGTCGGGGGAGAGCGGGTGGCCGTGTCGGGTGGGTTCTGCAGAGGGGTGCCTGTGCGTGCGTGTGGGTCTGGGGGGTGAAGCCCCACCTTCTCCTTCCAGCCTGGTTTGGTTGGGCTGGCTGGGGCTGACCTCTGGGGCAGGCAAAAGCTTAAATGGGTGAGAAGGAATGGGATTTTGGAACATATTAGGTCACTCATTCAGTTGGAGAGCAGCGTGTGTCAGAGGTCCAACAATTTGTTTTTAGAAGGGTTTCAAGTATTAATCATTCAAGATGTTTTCCTGGGAGTGGTTTGCAACATGAGACTCAGTGGCCAGCGTAGGGTTGGGGTTTTATGGGATTAGTCAACTCACTGAGGCTGAAAGGTCTCTAGTAATACAATAGTTAAATTTGTACTTTTCCACATGGCTGAGCCTTGAAGGAGCTCACCAGGAGTATAAAAAATGTAAACAGCATTGTAAGCTTTGTGCCAGCCATGAGGCAGGGAGGGGGTTTCCGTGCGGAGTACTTCTGTCACCTACTTTTTTCTTCTTCTTTTTTCTTTCTTGTCCAGAGTTGCAAATAATCATAAGCAGAACCTGATGACTGTTGCTAATCTGGGTGTGGTATTTGGGCCAACACTGCTTCGACCTCAAGAGGAAACAGTTGCTGCCATTATGGACATCAAGTTTCAGAACATCGTGATTGAAATTTTAATAGAAAACCATGAGAAGGTAATGGCTTTACTTGCTTCTTTCAGTGCAGTTAATTTATGAAACCTAATTTACCTGGGGCCCCTCTCCCAGGCCCCCCTTGCTCCTCGTGGCACTGGAGGTTTGTGTTGGGTTGGGCAGCAGCCGGGTGCTCCTACAGCGATGGGCACGGCTCGGGATGCGGCGTAGAGGCTCCAAAACTGTCCGTTCTTGGGCTGTAATTGCATAACCAGCGCTGCTGGTAACCAGCCTTTTTTATGGTCACCTCAGTGTGAGTCGGCATGTCCATGTCTCCATCACAGAAATCCCCCTTTCTCCCCACTTTCCATTGCTTAACAGGAATTTGTCCTTAGTTTCAAGAGAGATGAGCGCTAAAAGAGGCCAGTGCGAGATGCACGCCTAGGCTGGCTTCCTGCTTTTCTGACTAAGTCTGGGTTTATTCAAGTACTGGCTTCATCCACAACGTTGTCCTCCTCAGTGATGATGCATTTGCGTTTGTCGGCAGTAAGGATATCCTCGTCTATCCGTGGGGCCATGGCACTGGCTGTCCCTCCTGGCCAGCCATGTGGGGTGGCTGCATGCAAACGGCAGCACTAAAAAAAAAAATGCCGTTTTCTTCTAAATTCAAACAGTTCCCTGTTCACGATCTTTTGTTCGTCTGGTTTTGGTTGGAAAGAAACAAGTGGTTTGTGCATTCAGGCCGCAAAGGAAAGCGTAGAGGCCGGTTTGTCCCTGGCGGGGGCTACTGGGGAGGGCTGGCATTGCGGCTCTGGCGCGGGGCTTTGTCTCGAAGGGGTTTGTTGGAGGTTCAGGCACAAGGCTGAGCCCCTGGGTCGTGTGGTGCAGGCAGCAGCCTGGGGGCCCGTCTGTGCAGGGTTGCAAAGGGGCACCAAATGCACAGCCAGCGGGGACGGGGACGGTGCCCGTTGTTGTGTGTTCTTGGAGAAATTGCTTCCGCGGGCGCTTAAAGGCCGTGATGTTTCTTTAGGACGATGGAGCTGTTTTCTTCTCCTCTGCATGCAATGCAATGGCAGTGATGGCTTAATTCCGAGCTGCTGTGCGAACAGCGGTGATGAACCTGCAGTTGTGAGCAAAGCCCAGCTCCCCCGGCCCTGGTCCTGTGTGGAGGAACTGGCACAAAACCTCGTGTTGGCCTTCGATGGTCCCGTCTGTCTGTCTGTCAGTCACCTCTGTGTGGGTGCAGGGAAGTACTCACCACCTCTCCCTGGTGGTGGTGAGCTCTTTGGCTGTGCCGCCAGCATCACGAGCAGCACAGCATCCCTACGAGCGTGTTTTACCTCCCGTCCCCTCGCTGTGCTTTATGGAGCCCTTCCCTCGTGGGCCCTTACAGAAACACGTCTTTAGACATTGATTTTTTTTCTGCCTGAACCGAGTCTCTTGCTGTGCCAGCCGAGCCCTCCATCAGCTGGCATCTGTGGAGGAATCGATGACAGGTTTCTGCAATGATCGCGTCTGGGTGGGCTGCAGGGCTCGCCTTTGCTCACCAACCAAGCTACAGCTCCCACCCCAGGGTGTCCTGGCGCTTCGATGATTCCCCCTCATTAGAAGTAATTTATGGCACCGGCAGAAGGGTGAATCTGCACGTTGGTTACATACGCTCCTCGCCAGTTAATTCTGCAGGAGGGTGTACCTGCTGCCCGGGGTGCTCGGCTGCAGTGAGGGCTGATGCTGCAGGATGCTGAGCTGCCCTCATGGGGCTCACGGGGCTCGTGGGGCTCACGGGGCCGGGGCCGCCTGCCACTGCCACTTTGCACGAGGATGCTGCGAGCAAAACTCCTGTGAAGCCATGTCCCCATTTCTCCAGGGCTCTCGGGAAGGAGGGAGATGGGAAGAGGTAACTCAGGGAGAGGAAAATCTCTTAAATGCAGTGTTAGCGCCCGTTCAGCTCCCGCTTTAGGACTGTTTCGTTTCAGTGTATTTCTTAATTTGAATTGATTCGAGCTCATTGAAGGTTCCCCACAGGAGCTGCCGTAGGTGATTAGCAATAAGCAAGTTGCTTGCGCTTGTGCTGCTGGTGCTTTATATTGTTTTACACCAGTGACTCACAGACACTGTTTATGATTAAGTACATTCGCAGGGAAAATGTAATTGATTTGAATGGTTCCTGGCAATCAGCAACTGTCTGGTATTACATTATATTTCCCCCAGGTAAGTGGAATGCTTCTCCCGTCAAAATTACTGTTGTCATTGTGTAACCAAAAAAAAATAAAAATGCAAGCTTGGTGATAACATCTCTTGGTCTGAATAACTGCTGGCAGCTTGTTTACACGGTCGCTTCAGTAGGCTTATGTGATTGCCGGGGCGGTGGAGGGGGTTTCGGGGGGGTTAGTCAGCGTTCCCTGCTCACCTGCCTGCGTCTGCAGTCAGCCCACCTGAGATTTGGCTCATCTTCCACCTGAGATTATCCCTGGGGAAGCACATTTGTCCCGAAGCCGTGAAAGTATCCGCGAAGGATGCTGCAGGTCGTCCAGTGTCCTCGCCGGTGAACACGGTGCCCCGGTGTGAGCGTGGGCCCTGTGCGTGCGGGGTTCCCGATGCGCCCCGCGAGCGATGTGCCCTTTGGAACCACAATCAGCAAAACGGGGACTTTCTGAAGGTTCCCGGAACAACTGGGAAATTATGGTTTGCTCTATGTTGCCAGAGCATCCGACAAAGACCATTAAACCCTGCGTGTAATCCAAAAAGTGAAACTGTTTCTAGAGATTTAACAGGTTTCCAGGTCTCGGATCCAAATTGTTTGTTATACCCACAATAACAGCAGTAAACTCTGGGATGGTTTTTAAAGCTTCTCAGACATGTTCTCCTCGAGAGGGTCTCCACACATCGAGGCATCGCAGCCCTGGCGTTGGCCTTTAGGATTCCAGCTGTCGCTGGGAACTGCTGCGCTTTGGGTGATCTCCGGCGTGTTGTACTGGCAGCAGCTCTTCTGGAAGTGCGGGATAGGGGTGGGATGAGTGTAGCGTTGGGGCCTGGGGATGAGGGGACAGCGGCTCCATTTGCCTGCCACATGTTCCAACACAGCAAACAGGAACCCTGGAAAAGCCAAGAGGGAGCAACGTGCCCGGCTCTGAGCTGCCCAACACCACCCAGCAAACCAACAACATGCCAAATTGCTACTTAATAAGATATATCCATCAGCGATTCTCAGCCTTTTCTGTGTATGTTTGTGGATACAGTACTTTAAGATAATGTGTTATAAAATGTAGCCTGATGATACATAATTAAATGGATAAAATGATTTTTCTCCTGTGGCTCTGGATGTTGCCATGACAGGCAGACCAAGAGCATATCCTGTGCCTGGTTACTTGGGTGGTTGCCACTTATCACCATACTTCTGATTTTAAAATTAAATGTTCGCCAAAAGTAATATTAAAATATTATTACATCCGACAATTGCAGATGTCCATCCATTTTCTCTTCCAAAGCTTAAATTTTTATAGCTCTTTGGAAAAGGCCATTGTTCTGAAGTGTTACAAAATTAAGAGATCGATTTACTGTCATGATGATGTTCCCTCCAGACAAAAGATTGACCAGGTGAAATGTTAATGCAGCCAGTATTGATGACAAATAGGAGACTAGTTTATGCAGGGAATTACACAGACCCAAACACTAACCTCAGGAAATAGTAAGGACTACTATGAAAGTCAAAGCCCTCAGCACCTCGTCTTCATTTGATGCTTTTCTGTAATTAGCTGAAATGCTTAGTGATGCTGTTGGCAGTTTTAGCTGGTCCTTGTATGACAGCACCACGAGCATTTTGAAGGTCATAGCAGCTTCTTATTCTCCAAATTGCTTGAGCGAGTCCAGGCACAGCTCTGGCTGATGGCCGGAGCAGAGACCAGGGCTGGACCTTCACACGCGCCTCCATCGCATCCCTCTGATGCGGGCAGGATACCCAGCGCCTCTGGTTTTCACCTTCCTTGTAATAAAATAGATATAATGGGGTAACAAACACCAAGCACAAGGAGATCCTCCAGTGCCTGCTGGGGTGCGGGGAGGGAAGGGGGGCTCTGATGGAGGGGGGGCACCATCCCTGGCCTCACCAGTGTCTCCAGTGCAAGTACAGGCGCCCTGGCAGTGAGGAGTGATTCCTCCAGAACCGATGGAAAGCGCACGTCCCTCATCCCTCTGCTCGCACAGAGCAGCCGTCGGCGCTGGGTGGGCACCCCCGGTCCTCAGCTGGTGATGGGGCCATGGGCTGGTCTCTCTGGAAGAGCTGTGGGATAAAGGATGTAGCAGCACCCGGATTTGTTCCATTCAGAGGTGGGAGAGGTATTAAAAAAAGCCTTTTAACTACCACTTGAGACGAGGTGCTGCCGGGTCTTTGCCGTTTTGCAGACAGGGGAGAAGGTGGTGTGGAGCTGTGAAATTGTCGCTTGCATCGGGCTGAGCAAGTGAGCACGATACAGCTGTAAATGTGATTTATGAATCCTGGCTGCTCCTCTCCTGCTCTGGCTATTAAACCGTCTCTCTCTCCCTGTTAATTGGGCTCTGTGACTGGGAGAGCTATAACACGGGTTTGCGCAGTGAGGAGCATGTCTCAGCTGTTCTTGTTAAATTGAAAAAATGAAGCAAACCTGAGAAACTTTCCTGTGAAGAAGAGTGGAGGTTTTGTGCAAGTGGTGTCTGAGCTGAGGGGGATGGAGTAGGAGGTTTTGGTCCAGCAGTTCTGGTTTCCTTTGCTGCTGAGGAGATCTGCGCTGTTTCCCAGTACACCATGATGGCAGAGCGAGCTATTTATCTTCTGGTTCTTGGGGTCTCTCCTTAGACCTTCAGCATCAACACTGTGCTTTTTTAAACGTAGCTGTTAATTGACTTTTCTCCATTGTGAGCGGATAAATTTAGCCCGTATGCTTTGTGCCACTCAGAGGTGGCAGAGCTTTTAATAGCCCTGCCTCTGCCTCCACATTGCCTCTGCTCCCCCCTCTCCGGCTTTATCTTGGTGGAGATGCCGTAGCAGGCTTGGGACACTGAGTTGATTCATGGCTGGAGACCATCCTGGAGAAACGCTGGTGTTTCTGCTTCATCAGGAGGCTGCGTCCCGCTGCCGCCACCGCGGCCTTGCTGGCCAGAGCCGCGGCTCTCCGTCTGCTCCACGGGGCAGCGGCTGCTCCTCGGGGGAGCTCGTGGAAGAGGTTGTGGCTTGAAAAAAAAATAAGTTTATAGTAGAGCCAGAAGCGTATTTACTGAGTCCTTGTAGTTGTGTCGGTGCCTGCAGTGCAGGCTGCGAACCCGAGGGCTCGAGAGGAGCAGGAGCACGTCGGAGCCCGCAGTGGGCAGGGCGGGAGGAGAAGGTGGTGCGTGCTGAAGCTTTTTAGTAAAGTTGTTTCATGACGATGTTCCAACTGCATTTAGAAATGCAACCTCCTTAGAAGCTGAGGCTGATTTCAGTCACCAAGTTCATGATGTAAGAGCATATATACCTTCTCTTATTAACAGCCAAGAAAAAGAAACAAAAACCTGGAAGTTTATTTTCAAGTGTGCTGTGGGAAATCACTGCATAAAATGCAATTCATAAATCAATACTTTTATCTTGCTTGATTTATATATTCCATTATATTTCCCAAGTAGAATTTACTATCAAAAAGCAATTTGAAAGCAAGAGCGTGTTAAAGCAGGCAGGGGCCACAATGGCTACAGGCAATGGAGCCCAGGTCAGGCAAGGTGCCCCGGGTACCGATTTCAGGATCCTGCCCCCGAGAAGCTGCATTTAGCACGTAGAGCAAAGGGCTCATGGCCCGGGTCCCGACAGCCGGGCCAGGCACCTGAAGCATGTGCAGCTGGGGAACGTTTTAGCATGGTGAGCAATGCGCTACGAATAGCCCTGTGAGCTGGCCGGAGCGCCGGCACCGGTGCTGGGGTGGGCTGGTGGGGTGCTGGGGAGGGCTGGTGGGATGCTTGGGAGGGCTGGTGGGGTGCTGGGCTGGGTTGGTGGGGTGCAGGGGTGGGCTGCTGGGGTGCTGGGGAGAGCTGGTGGGCTGCTGGGGAGGGCTACTGGGATGCTGGGGTGGGTTGGTGGGATGCCGGGGAGGGCTGGTGGGGTGCTGGGGTGGGATGCTGGGGTGCTGGGAGGGCTGCTGGGGTGCTGGGAGGGCTGGTGGGGTGCTGGGGTGGGCTGCTGGGGTGCTGGGAGCAGAATGCAGCAGCTGTGTGAGAGGCTGGGGAGCTGCTGGCCCCCAAAGTCCCGTGGGGAGCTTTGGAGGTGGGAACGGCCGCGGGCAGGCGCGCGTGGAGTGAAAACGAGCGGCGCTGCACGCAGAGAGCGCGGCTTGGGCTGCTGCTCCCTCCACTAATCCCTAAGCCCAGGAGGAATGTGTGAAGGAGCTCAGCAGAGCTCGCCGGGCTGGGCTGCAGCGGGGTTCCCTAAGCCCTCCGTCTGCTCCGCAGCGCGCCTGGCTCGGCACGGCGGGGCTCGGCTGCTCGCCGGAGCTCTGCCCAGGCATTCACCCAGCCCGGCTCGGGCACCAACCTGAGCCCGGGGCAGTGAGTCCCTACAAACAGAAAAGTTGGGGAGCGAGGTGCTGGATTCATCGAGAGCGGTTCATCACTCCCTCTCCAAGGGCCGTCAGCGCTGCCCTTCGCACCCGCCTCTTCCTGGGGGGAGATGCGACATTAACATTTTTGGCGCCCGCGTCTGGGCTCGTTTATTTGTAGAAATTGGCGTGGAGGGTTTACGCCCGCGTGTGAGGGTTTTGTTGTTGTTAGATGAAACAAACCCGTGACATGCTGGCAGCCGGGGCCGCTGGCTGGCAGGCGGCGCTGGATGGCTTTCGGCAAGACAAGGGCTGCCCGTGACCAGCGGCGATGGCTGCGTGCTCCCGAGGAGTCACCCCGGCATGGTGGTGGGCAGCGAGCTGCCTCCAAAATACAGTTTTCCCATTGGCAGCCCCGGTGGGCTGGCTGTCAGGGGTGGGCAGAGGAGGGAAAGGCACCGAGGGATGGGGTTGGATATATTCAGGTGACAGAAGACCTTGAGAGAGCCGGTCTTGAGGCAGCACTGCTGCTGTCTGAGCCTGGGGTTCCAGAAACGACACCATAAATAACCAAATATCGACAGCAAACCAAACCTGTGCAGTTTTAAAATTCCATCCCCTCGAGAAAAATGCGGTTACTCAGTTTTCTGACAGCTGTGGCTGGAAGTCGCAGGGACTTTCCCAAGCTGGGTGTGAGGGCACTGAGGGCCGTGCCGCCGGGAAGTGTGCGTAGGGACACGCCGATTTGTCGTGCCGGGGGCACTCTCGCCATCACCTGCTGGCACCCTCAAAAACTCAGCAGAATGCCAGGTTATCGGGATTCTTCCCACCTTGCAACATGTGTTTGGGGTGAAGAATAGAGGAAAGGAGTGCAGACGAAGTGGGAATGGGGAATTTAGGAAACTGTACCCAAAATGTTGCCTTGTTGAATGCGTGTTGTCCTTAGGCGCTGCTCGGCAGAGCGGTGCAGCCCAGGCAGGTAGGCAGCTGATCTGTTCGAAGGGGCGATGCCAAAGAACAACTTGTTTATTATTTTTTACAGATATTTAACACGGTGCCAGAGACTCCACCATCGAACTCGCAGCTGCTGTTATCTCGCAAGAAGAGCACGGACTCGAAGCCTCCCTCCTGCAGCGAGAGACCACTGACGCTCTTCCACACGGCGCAGCCCAACGAGAAGCGTAAGTGTGCCGAGCCACGGCTCCTGGCTGCCCCACCTGACAGAGTTTTTGCCCTAATCGTGACTAATGGATTGTAATTGCCATGCCATTCCCATGCAATTTTACTGGTGTCAATGGAAGAGACGATTCCCGTAACAGGATCAGGCTTCGGTTTCCTCCACTGTCACGCTGATGGGGAGTGTGAGGATTGCCTGGCATCCGAGCCCTTAACCCGGGGGGCTGAACTGAGGCTGCATTAGCACAGTATAAAGTGTTGCTGGCCCGTCCCCACCTGACGGGCCCCTGCTCATTCCCCCTCTCATGTTCCTCGACCCCTGTCCTCGCCATTGGCAGCTGCCGGGATGCGCTCCTGCACGCGGGCGCAACGCCTGTGGCAAGGCTGTGACACCCTTTTTGGATGCCTTCGGGCACTTTGCCTTTTACAGACACAAAAACCCAGCCAGGAGGTTCTGCATTTTTCTGAGGATTATGTACCACGGTAGTTTAAAAATGTTGAAGATCATCTTTCCATTTCTGTCACTAATTGATGCTCCAGATATTTAGGTGGAAGAGTCAGTGCCCCATCCCAACTCACGGAGTGGCAGAAATGTGTCTGCTCAGGCTGTTTTTTCATGTTGCAGCGTAAACCCAGTTCCCAGTTCTCCCATTCCTCCCAGCCACGCGCTCCCAGCTCCTGCTTCAGGCTGCTGCTGGAACTGGCTGGTTATACGGGGAGCTGTCCCAGTTTGCTGAAAAAGCAGGAGAGTAACATGGTGAGCAGAGCAAGCGCACGAGGGCTCGGCTTGCTTTGCTCAGGCAGTGGGGAGCGCGGCGGGGTGAGGAGCAGAGGAAGGCTGGAGTCAACCCATCTCCCCAGGACTTAAAACTGCAGGGTGGACAGAGTGGTTGTGGTGAACTTTGCTGACTCTCAAAACACGTGGGCTTGTCTGCCTCTGATTGAGTTACTGTTAATTACCAGGCACTCTCATTTCGGAGGATGTCATATCGATGCATGTGGGTTTAAGGAAGCTGTGGTAGCACCAAAGCGTGCACTGGAAATAGTGTATCGCATGACTGTCAGTGGAGCTTCAAATATCAAAAGCTGCTTTTGAAAAATTTCAGACTAAGTAATTTATTTGCTGCTAACTAAGCAGTTGCTTGTCAGATTCTAGAGTCACCCGGCTGCTGGAGCCCTCGTGTACCATCCTCCCCTTGCCCAGAAGAGGAACTAAGTTAATTTATTTATTTCTGCATTTATTTATTCCCACAAGAAGCAATGTTTTCTCATCTTTCCTCTGTAACCTCCCGTGTCTGTGGGAAGCCACCACCATTTTACTCAGCGTTTGCCATCCCTGCTGCATGTGTCGGTTGAGGAATAACATGAGGTTTCCTTCCTTACTGGCCCAGACATGGGCCAAGGCTCCAAGTCAGGCTGAAGTGCGAAGGGCCTGGAGAGCAGCACAAGCTGAGTGCCACGTCTGCACCGTGTCCTGAGCCGTGACACAGAAATAGCTCCGCTGTGACACAGAAAGAGCTGACATCTCCGGCAGCCTTCCCGTCCCAGAGCCCGGGTTTGGTGGAAGCGCCTCTTTCCCTCGCAGGTGGCTGCCTCGGGGGTGAGGGACTGGGAACCCTGAAGTACGTGGTCGCTCTGGTGCTCCTGTCTCCAAATTAGTGTTGGAAGAGGTAAAGATGGCTCAGAGGAGCCCCGAGCACAACGGGAACACTGAAGGCATGCCACTGGAGTTACTCATCTGTGAAAGAAAGACATAATAAGATCTAATAGCTGGAGATTGAAGTTAGACACATTCAGGACATTAACAGACTATATATTTTTTAAGGCCGAGAGCAAATTAACTGTAAGAAGTTTAGTGGGACAGTGAATTTTCCATCACTTGAAATCTGTTCATGGAAGTCAAATATCTTTCTAAAATTTTCACTAAAATTCATCATACAAAGCTGTGTAAAAGTCAGAAATGACAATGTTCAACAGACAGGATCATGCAAGAGAGCAGATTAGATAAGGAGAGTGATTATTTAGCTGTTAAACATTCACATTTTTGTCCACAACTGACCCAGGAACTGGATATTGTGAAACAAGTGTTGTTAACACAGCAAATAGGCCATTTTGTTCCTTATCAGTCCTTCATTATAAACACTGTTTTGGCACTTTGCTCATATTTTGTTACGCAGAAAGCTTTTGTCATCACTTCTGTGGTCCCCGTGGACAACTGTTACCCAAGTGCCCCAGCTCAGGTTCTCAGCCGCTCTGCGCTCCGGCGAGCTGCGGCGTTTGCTGGAGGGGAGCCCGGAGGAGCCGGAGGATTCCGTGAGGCTCCCGCGGCTCTGCTTGACTTTCCACTAAAGGTTCACAAGGGTTTGGGAAAAATCACATCAAGGTGTTGCTGGTTCCTGAGCTAGAAGAGGGCGAACTGAGACTGGCTGAGCAGTTCAGCGACGGGAGAGTTTGTTGTTCAGCGAAGGGAGGACGCAAAAACGTACAAGTCCGGGTCTCCCTTAAGCCCCTCCTTACCAGCAAGGTCATTTTGTGGGTTTTGGAGGGAAGTTGCTGGTTTGGTTTATGAACAGTAGCTCTCTTGTTGGCAGGAGCTGGGCCACAGTGCCAGCAGCGAGGGGACACAGCCAGGAGCTTGGGCTGGGGCTGTGTGGTGTGTGGGGGGGTCGGTGGTCTGCAACGAGAGCGGGGCCAGCTGGGACCCCCCCTCGCACCCAGCTGCGCCGGTGGCTTGCAAAGGGGCTCTTCTTCTGTGTGAGGGGGGAGAAACATACTTTAGCTGATGGGCCATTCTGCTCTTGTAGCTGTAGGACCAAATTAAATCTCACAGTGGAGAATCCTTCACGTAAGCTTTTAAAAACATGAAGCAAAATACAGTATCAGCCTTTTAAAAAGGAGGAAATAAACTAAGGCAAGAGTTTCAGATTCTGCCATTCATCTCCCTTCCTCTCTAGATGAAACACTTCCAGTTTCTTGGCTGATAGGGACTTTAATTCAATATTGGCTGGTCGCTAGCTCTGAGATTAGGCAGACAATTGACACTGATTTGTTAGGCTTACAGAGCTTATTTTCGGACTTCAGCCTTGGGCAGAAAATGTTTGGAAATAATAAGACGTAGTGTTAGCCCACGCTCCATCAGCTCAGCTCCGCGCTCCTCCCAGCCTCCGCTCCGGTGGGGCTCAGCGGGGACAGTCCCCGGGCTCGGTCACCGCCGTGTGCTCCGGAGCTGGTCTGTCACAGCCCCCTTTGAAACCTGTTCTGGCAGACGCAAAAATAGAGGCGTGATTTGGGTCAGCCTTTGGGGGTGTTTAGGTCCGTAGGCAGCTCAGTTTCTCTCTTATTTCATCTGCTGGCTCCCGCGTCTGCCTGTCAGTGCTTGTGGAGGTCAGCCCTCTGTTTTTCTTCACTTTTGCCTCTTATCTTCTGCATGGATGATCTTTTTCAACACAAAGTGCTTATGCCTTCTGAGTTCCAGCTGGGCTTTTGCGAGCTCATAGCTTCATACGAGGGGACCTGCCCTGGCCCCGGCGGGACTTGCTGCGCTCTCCTCCATCGGCCCATCCCTCCGGGGCAGAGCTAAAGCAGAGGCCAAGAAATGTCTTTAAATTGGATGCTCCGGGGAAATCACTCTCGTTTCTGAGCTTTTCTGACTTGGTTTAGGGAAGACCTGGCTTGTTGTCTGAGCTACCATATGGCTCAACACCGATGAGATTGTTTGTATTTTCCTTTTGGCATGTCAGACGGTGGTGAGTTGGAAACCATGGCTGGGCAAAAAATCCAATGTTGGAGGAACAAAGCTGGGGACAGAGAGGTGTATGTGTGTCTCGTTCCCTTGGTGGCTTATTGGAGAACAAGATTAATGAAACGCAATTTCAGGTGCATGTTGGCATGTATTGACACAATTAACACATCCTTGCTTTAGGCTAATCTCTGGAGGATAGGCTCAACCTAAGCTTAACCATATTTTAGCCCTGCCTTGCTGCCATGTGGGCACTGATTTTGTCTGGGCACCAGGAAAATGCAGCAACTCCAGCGACAGAGCGTGCCCAGGAGCGTCGGACTCCGCTCTTGCCCCTGGCACCCCCAAACCTTTTCCCAGTGTGGGCTTTTTGAGGTGGTGGCAAAGAGCTGCCACAACTCCCTGCTCCTCTGTGCCTGAGGCAACACCCCTGCCAGGCTATTTCACAGAAATGTGGGTGGTTTCTTTCTGCAGTGTGCTCAGGATTAACGTTTCATATATCCCTGGAGTTCCTCTTGCACTCTTTTATCCTTCTTGAAATGTGTACAGGATACGGATGAGTACTGCCTGTTCTCCTTCTAGCACAAGCAGAGGTGTACAATTTAGAGGGATTGAGAATAAGGGATTCCCTGTTACTATGGGCTTTTTGGTAGTAATTTGATCATATTAGTGTGCACTGGAAAAACAATTTTTGAAAGATTTATCACTGAAGTAGGACTCATTATGTTTTCCAGCAGGTGCCTATCTTTGAGGAAAACTTCATCACAGAAGTAGCAGTTCTCTGCAATAGGGCTGCTTTCCTTGCCATCAGTGATGATAATTGCTTCTCACAATTGCAATTACTGATTATACGGAAAAAGCATCTTACAAAAATGAATTAATGTGATTTTAGGTAATTTGGCGTAGAGCTGAGGAGGGAGCCCATGCTGCGGATGTCGGTTTGGGATGCATAATATTTTCATTCCTCACTGCTGAAGTTACACAAATAAGGGGAAGTCTCTTAACAGAATATGATCAAGGGAAACAAGAAGCTCTTCAGAAGCTTCCAGACTGTCGGCAGGGCGGTGCCGGCGTTTCCCCAGCGCGGTGCAGGCGGCACTACGGCGGGAGCAAGGCGCTGTTTTGGGCCAGATAAAAAGCCAAGTTTCTGACCCACAGCTGCTCTGTATTTCCAAAGAGCTGAGCTGAAGTGGAATGGAGACCCTGTTCCCCCTTCACCTTATAGACCTGGCCAGGAAAGATCAATAGTAGCTGACGTCAAGTCCTAGGCTGAAGCGTTTTTTGCTGAGATAAACGTTAATTGGGTGATTTGTCCTTTTCTTGTTCTAAAATGTTATCCTGCCCAGACAAACGCTCGGTCCCTTGGCAGCTGATTTCAGTCACAGAGAAATCCATTTCTCTGTGTAGTTTGCATTTTATTTTTTTTCAGGTTGTGTGGTACTTTGGATGTCTTTGGGAATATAAAATATTAACACCTTGAGAAAAATGAATATTTTCCTACTAAAAAAGGTATTCATTTAAAATGTAGCTACATCTTTTTTTTAAAAAAAAAAAAAAAAAAAAAAGACTACCTGGTATTTCTTATGGTTTAATGTATTATTCATCATACATATACATCAGCAGTAACATCTTGGTTAGCTAACTGCCTGTCTTCTGAGATCTGTAGACGCTGCCCTGTTTGCAGTAGGGCAGGATTGTTCCTAGGAGCACTCGACACCTTTGCAGCAGTACGCTCTTTACTTTTGCACGCGATGGCAGATGTGTGTGGTGGCTGATGATTCTTGGGTTTTGATGTTTTTTTAGAGGAGAACAGGAACAGTAACATCAACTCCAGCCTGGAATCCGTCATCTCTTCAAACGTAAACAGCTTCCTCAACTCCAACAGCGCTCCCCAGCCCAGCCTGAACTCAAGTGATCTTGAACTAGAAGTAATTAAACCCAACAGGCCAAATTCACTGTAAGTACAGTGGTAATTAGTGTTTTATAGGCTCTCTGTCCTTAATCTTTAATCATGGCTGTTTCTTACTCTGAATCCCAGCAGTTTGTTGAAGAATACAATTTAACATTTTAATTTTTAATGGGTGCCTAGCATGTGCCCTGCATTTTTAACTCGGTCTAAGTGGTGGAATTAGTTACTGTGGGTTATATCTGCCGGCGAGTTTCAGCTTTAATTGTTTTGCACATGTGGAATATTTTTCGAGCAGAACTCCACATTGCTGCTTGAACTGCTCGACCCATCTGGTGATAACTCCAGCGAACACAAAGGACTTTTCTTCTGAGTTAAATTCTATGACTGCTGTCAGTACAGTTGATCTCCAGCCAAATCTGTGCCATTGCTTCTGCTATTGCTTCCTTCATCTGGAAAGTTCAAGGGAAAAAATAGCGACCTTAGCAATGACTCCCTGGGGACGGCTGAGTTATTTATGAAGTCCCCTGAACTTGACACAGCTGAGCCCTCACGCCGATGGCCGTCTCTGCTGGGGGAATTTCCTTCCTGCCGCGGCTCTGCTGGGCCTGATAGCATTTTCCCACAGAACCTCCCCTCCTCGCGCATGTGAAGATCTGCTCAGATCTTCAAGAGCCCTTGCAGGCCTTGCAAACTGAAGCCAGTTTCCCTCCCAGAGCTCCTGGGCACAGCCCTGCCTGTCCCCGCGGATCGGCCGGGGGGAACTCTGCTCCCTCCAGCGTTTTACAGCCTCGCTGTAACGTGGTGACCTTCGCAATTAAGGGAGACCTTCCCTCCCACCCCTCCCGTCCTCCCCCAGGCTCCGAACACTTCCAGTTCCCACTCAACCATAGAAGCCCCCGGTCCCTCGGGAGCAGACAGTGACGTTTTTGCATTAGCTGCTTTCTTCTGGTTATCAGCAGAAGGATTGCTAGGGAATCGAGATGGCTGAGTGCCAGGGCGGGTACTGGTAGAGCTGGTGAAATGCGTTGCTGTTGGCGGGGTTGGCGGCAGGGGCTGGGGTTTGGGGGGGCTGGGGTGCAGCCCTCGCTGGCAGCACAGGGGGGGCCGGCTCAGGCCCAGCCTGCAGCGGTTTGCAGGGGCAGAGAGGTAAGTGCCCAGCGGCCGCCGGCACCGCTGCCCGCGTCGGCGCGCCTCTGGCTTTCACCCATCCACTCCGCCCCTCTCCTCACCATCACCGCCACTAAAACCGTGAGCTGCGCGAGGACCAAACGCGTGTGTAAGGCTCGGCTCCCTGCCTCGCCCGCTCTCTGTGGATTTACCTCCTGCGAGAAAATCGCCTGCAGGGAGAGTTGTGGCGGCGGAATGGAGCATCCAAAAGGTAGGACGCCTCTGAATTAAGGTTGCACATGACACATCTTACGTACTGAGTAAAGATGCGTCGATGTCTCATGCCTGTACTGTTGGTTGAGCTCTGGAAGTCGGTCACATACTGTTCCCCCAGAGGATGTTTTTAGTTTATTTATCCTTTGAGGGAGAAAAAAAAAAACGATGTGACATACAATACAGCAAGTTTTGTGAGCCCGAGTCTTGCTGTGACCTTACAGGAATTGTTTGCCAAATTCGCAGTTTTTCAGATTCCAAGAGTTGCCTCTTCATAATAATTTCTTTTTTAAAGGAAGTCATAAAGAAGTTCAGCAGAATAAATCGGCTGAAGCTCTGTGAGGCTGTGGGGAAAGGAGGCATCTTGCTGTTACCAAGGAATTAAGTGAGCAGACCATCAGCAAAACCATTTGCTTGCTGCCAGTTAAGGGGCCTTTGCAATTTTGCAAAATGAAATAGTGATTAGCAGGGCAGCACTGGCTCTTATGGCTCTGACAGGGTTTGTGGCATTTGATGCTTCTCAAATCTAGGGTATATGTGGTAATTTTTACACATGCAGGAATACACAAGTTCTTGGTCAACGCTGAGCTAAAGGTTGAAAAGTCAGTCGTAAGGTGGGTGAATAATACCACAAGGCAAATATTTTCTTCTCTATAACCCCAGATATTTAAATCAAATATCTTTAATCCAATCTTTCAATAAGAAATGAAGCATCTGACTTCATTTTATTCTTTTTCAGCGGTATGTATAGATGTCACTTCAGTCTGTGCCCAAGGTTTTGGCAGCTCTGTGAGGCTTTGCCCTCGGTGGTTAGCGCTCCGTGGGGGTGTTGGGCTGCCGTGGCGAGGATGAGGAGGGCGAGGAGGGCTGCCAGCAGCGGGTCTGTCCCCCAGCCCTGCCCCGCAGCCGTTTGCAGGCTGCAGTCTGGGTCGGGGCAGGGTGTCTGAACGGTGCCAATATCCCAGCAGCTTTCTCGTTGCTGCTCTGCGGGACTACCCAAATAATATCTGTATAAAGCCGCTTCTGGTTTTTTAACCAGCTGAGTAATTCGGGCTTTGCAGGAAGCCTGGGGCAGCTACGCACACTCAGTCGGTCCATAGTATCTGTTACTGCTATGCGAGGGGTTCTGGTGCTCCCCGGTAATTGCTGGACCCACAATTATGGTAATTGGCAGCGAGGAAGGTCTTAAGATGCCTTGCCTTTTGCGCTTCTTCAGATACTCTGCCAAATTCTCTGCCGGTCCTGTGAGACCCATCCCTGAGCTCTGCTTCAGGACTTTTGAGTTTTTTCTTGTGTTCTTCACCATTTTCTGAATTTTTCGGCTGTGGACTGGGGCCATCCTGTTTGAGGACCCAGTCAGGAGGGGCTGGCTTTCCTGGCAGCCTCCCCCGAGTTGATCAGCTGCCTGAGCTGGGAGCCAGCGCTTGCCAAAATTCAAACCCTGCAGCTGAGGAGCTGTAAAATTCCAGGTGTGCGGAGGCCAGGAAGTCCTGCTTTCCTCCTTGAAAGAAAAAGGGATTTCTTTCTGAACAAGAAACGTGTTAAGAGGACAAAAGTAAAAAAGGACAATTACAAAAGAATCCTGGATTTGGTGTTTCCTTCCCTTCGAGAAAGGGACCTCTGCTGCCCTAACAGGACAACAGCAAAGGTTAGTAAATTAAAAGCTAGCCCAGAGCAGAATTCGACCTGCTCCTTATTTTCTGCTAAATGCATCACTGAAAAAACCAGGCTGATGGAGATATCTGCGCAGGGGAAGTGCCTGCATTAATTAGGGCCTTTTCCTGCTTTATTCTGAGGTTTGGTGCCTTGAGGTGTTGGTGTGTCTCTCGCCCTTGGCCCGCGTGGGCAGGGTGACCCCAGTGTCCACCTCCCCATCCCGCCAGCCCCCAGTCTCAGCTGAGATGGGTGCCCACCTCGAGAGGGCGAGGGGCAGGGCGGGCACGCGATGAGCCTTTCGGCACCGATGTCACCTTGAAGCCTTTGCTGCTGTTGTCTGCCATCGGCGGCTTTGTGTCACCTCCTCACCCGTGCTACGAAGCGGGCAGAGCGTGACAGCTCGGAAAGGGAAAACACATTTTTTTTTTCTGCCGGGTCCCAAGGTACCAGACTCTGGTCTGTGCTCAGGGAAAGCTGCGATGCTGTGTTGCCCCAAAGTGATGTCCACCTCGGAGCTGCTCTCCAGCCCAGCCAACGGCGGGGTCAGCAGCACCAGCACACCTCCCCATCGTTTGTTGCCTCTTCCCCACGGGCTGCAGCTGGGCTCGGTGCTTCCACCTTCACCCTTTAGACGGGCAGAGCCCCGGTGGGGTGTCCCCACACGGGACGGTTCGCGTTGGGCACGGTGGCTCCTGGCTGCGCGGGAGCTGTGGCACGGCGACTCACCCTCTGCAAAAGTCGCTTTGGGAAACTGCAGGGAAAGGAGTTGGGTCGTTCTGATGTTGTTGCTTCTTACCAAGCTGAAAACTGATGTTCTCGTGGAAATAACTCCTGTTGATCTCAGTGGGAGACTCGGAGCACAAATGTTCAGGACTGCGAATCTGGGGGATTTCTTGTTTTCCTTTTGCTGCAGTGAGCACCGATGCATTCAAAGGTTGCCTTTAAATGTGCAATGCTAAAAATTGTGAACGCTGTGAAATTAGATACTTGCTTGAGCTCTTGCTTACAAAAGCCTTTCGGCTCCCTTCTGAGCGCTCGTGTATCCCGCAGGTCTGCTCCACAGGCAGCTGCACCAGTTCCTAAATCCCTCCCGTGAGCGTGTGCTGCTCCTTGCCCAGCCCCTGGGCGCAATGTGTGTTATGGCAGTGACCCAGCCGGGGCCGAGGGCTCCCCGCCTCGCGCCGGTACCCCCAGCCTCCTCCCCAGGGCGTCGTGGTCCTTCTCAGACTTGCCTTCCCTCCAGCGTGCTCCTCCTTCACCAACCGGGAGGGAAATTGTTTTGCTGCAAGACGAAGGCTCTTCCTTCCCAGCCACCAATCGGGGTTTTGCTATGGGAATGCGTTTATTTATTAGGGTTGGTTTTTATTTTTATGGAAAAACTGCTCTGGGCGGGAGTTGTACTCGGTGAGTCAGCAGGCCTGCTGTCCCATGCCAGGAGCTGTCGCTGTGGCGGTGGGGCGCAGGGGGAGTGGGGCTGGCTGCCCGGGGCCACCAAAGCCCCAGGGAGGGGGATTTGTTTTTAAATAAGCGTCTGGTTTCTTTATCCTGCTCTTGCAGAAAACATCTTCCCGAGAAAACAGGGCAAAACAAGAAGCAGAAAGTGCTGTGTTTCTAGCATAGATACGTACTTCAGCTGAAGTGGGGGAAGCTTGCAAACTGAATTGTGTGATCATGAAAAACAAAAGATTCACGATTGCAGTTTCTAAAACCCTTTTAAAAAAGCACCTTGCTCTGGTGGCTCTGCGATGCGTACCTGTGAAGCCTCTGGTGTGGGGTGTATCACTGCAGATAACCAGCACCTTGATTGGTGTTTCCTTTGTATTTTTTCTCCCCTGTTTTATTTATTTATTTATTAGTGTCCCCTGTGTTACTCAAAGACCTCTGCTGTGTGCAGGGCCCGCGGCGCTGGGTGCATGGGCGGCCCCTCCGAGAGCTTAAATCTGGCTGAGGCCAAATGAGAGGTGGGTGCTGCAAACACAGGCAGCAGTAGCCAGATCGCGTTACACAGCCTC